GATTGGTGAGGGGCTTTGTCTATGGATTGGTGAGGGGCTTTGTCGGTGCGGCACACTCTTTCCCCATCTCTCTCCTGGCAGGTCCTTCTGAACGACGCCAGGCCTTCCATCCATCTTCATCCTTTTATTAAATGTAACCCCCTTGAGCCCATCTGCTTGAGGGGACCCAAGAGGAAATCGGGGTGTTATAAATTAACTGTGACAGGGCACATCCCGGGAGCACCGCCAGCCGGACGCTGGCCTCCTCCAGTCCATCCCAAAGTCTCCACCCGCCGGGAGCTGTCACAGCCCCGGCCCCGCTGCCTGCCCACGCCGGGCTCAGAGCCTGGAGTCTCTCGTCTCTCTGCCAATGCACCAGGGCTCAGCAGTATTCAGAATAATCTTCCTCCACGTAGTTGGCAGGGAACCAGCCAACCTGGAAACAGATGAGTTCATCAGAGCAGCCTCCGCACATCCTCCTATCGCCCCTCCACACACCAGGCAGGCTCCCTCCCACCTCAGGGCCTTTGCACCTGCTATTCCTTCTACCCCAGAAAACACCACCCAACATACCCAAGGCTGACCACACACACGCAGACACACACACACAGACACACACACACATAGACACACACACACAGACACATACACACACACACAGACACATACACATAGACACACACACACACACACACAGACACACACACACACACACACACACACACACAGACACACACACACAGACACATACACACACACACACACAGACACACACACACAGACACAGACACATACACACAGACACACACACACACATACACACACACATAGACACACACACACACAGACACACACAGAGACACACACACACACACAGACACACACACACATAGACACACACACACACACACACAGACACACACACACAGACACACACACATAGACACACACACAGACACACACACACATAGAGACACACACACACACAGACACAGACACACACACATAGACACACACACACACACACACACACATAGACACACACACAGACACACACACATAGACACACACACAGACATACACATATAGACACACAGACACACACACACCTGTCTCTTATACACATCTAGATGTGTATAAGAGACAGTAGACACACACACACACACAGACACACACACACAGACACACACACACAGAGACACACACACACAGACACAGACACATACACACAGACACACACACACACATACACACACACATAGACACACACACACACAGACACACACACACAGAGACACACACACACACAGACACACACACACATAGACACACACACACACACACACACATAGACACACACACACAGACACACACACATAGACACACACACAGACATACAGATATAGACACACAGACACACACACACATAGAGACACACACACACACAGACACAGACACACACACATAGACACACACACACACACACACATAGACACACACACAGACACACACACATAGACACACACACAGACATACACATATAGACACACAGACACACACACA